AGTGCGCCGCAGGACGGAGGCTATTGGTATTGGTACCTTAGCCTGTCTTTGGGCATGCCCTTGGCTGGGCCTCGCGCTGTGCCGCGTATATTGGCCTTTGTGCTGGGCTTGAGCTGGACCTGGCCTTTATGCTAGCCCTTGGGCTGGACCGTGTATTGGCCTTCATGCTAGGCCTTGAGCTGGGCCTTGTGTATTGGCCTTTATGCTGGTCCTTGAGCTGGTCCTGGGCTTGGCCCTCGGCTGGGCCCCGGGCTGGCACTGGCTCTATGCTGGTCTTTGGGCTGGTCTTTGAGCCGGTTGGACCGTATGAGTTGGGCTGCACTGCACTGCTGCACTGCACGGCGGCGTGGTCTACACAAACCTGTGTGGGAACGGGCCGGGTTGCTATTAGGAGAGGATACCGCCAGGCCCGGCCCCGCCTCCCTCTGCCGGTTTGTCTCTGCTCCCTCACGCCACGCACCCCAACCTTCCCCACGACACACTGCCCTCTGACGTCACTTCCTGCCTCTGCCCCTCCGCCCCTCCCCCCTCCCGTGGGCGCGGGTGGCCGGTGGGGCCAAAGGACGCGCTGGCGACAGAGTGGCGTCGTTGGGGGCCTGCGGCTCACCCCCCCCCCCTCGCAGAACACCTCGAAGGGCACCTCGCAGGGCACCTCGCAGAATACCTCGCAGAGCACCTCGCAGGACACCTCGCAGAGCACCTCGCAGAGCATCTCGCAGGGCACCTCGCAGAATGACTCGCAGAGCACCTCGCAGGACACCTCGCCAGGGCACCTCGCGGGGCACCTCGCGGGGCACCTCGCGGGGCACTTCGCAGAGCACCTTGCAGGGCACCTCGCAGAGCACCTCGCAGAGCACCTCGCCAGGGCAACTCGCAGAGCGCACCTCGCAGAGCGCACCTCGCAGAGCGCACCTCGCAGAGCGCACCTCGCAGAGCGCACCTCGCAGAGCGCACCTCGCAGAATACGGTTCGCGAGCGCGGGTCATACGTGAGTGTAGTCAGGTGCGTGCCCGGGACGAAACTGAATGACGCACGAGCCCCGTCCTATATTCGAATATCTATCGACATCCAGGGGGAATAGACTCGGGCTCCTGCATATTCCGCAGGCTGACATGGACAGGACGACAGGACACGGGGCGGGGCGCGGCCGGGCCACGGGGGGCTCGCGGGCAGGCGCCCTGAACGACGCAACAAACGGACTTCCCTGCGTCAAAACCACAGACAAAAATTGGTGCGGATTGGTGGACTACGGCATGATACTTAGCTTAGCGTGGCTCTAAAGTCTGACCTACGGAGACCAAGCTGGTACACACAAAGTGTTTTCAAAAAAGTGCTGTTTCTCTTCTGCAACCTGTTTTGCGCAGTTGTTGCAACTTTGAAAGAGGGGCATGTTTATTGATGGTTAGAGGTTAGATGCGGTAGAGACGAGAGATCCGTTGTTTGTTTACCTGAGCGGGCTTCATTCATTCACGACACGGTGTGTACGCGGCGCTCGTAGTACTGCATGGCCCCCTCTCTCGCCACCGTACACACACACCTGCCTCGCCTGCCGCGGCGGGGCGGTGCGCGGTGAGGCGGGGGCGTCACTGCCAAGCGCGCCAAACAGTATGGCTCAAGGGGGGGAGAGGCGGGGGCTCCCACTCGTGCGCAGTTTCCTCGGCTACTGCTTGTTGATGTTTTTTGATGTTTTTCTGGTGTCTCCCCGAATGAGTTGGGTAAATGCCAATTTGGAGTACAATAATCATAATAAAATAATGAGCGTGTCAAAACTTTATAGAAACAAACACTCCGAACGATGCCCCCTCACATGTCGACGGTTCTGGGAAAAAAATAAGAAGTGAAAGAGGGAGAGGGGGAGTGGGGTTCTGGCATCGGTTCGTGGCTGCAATGTGCGCAGTAGCGTTCGCCTACGTGGGTACGCCGCCGCCGCCGCCGTTGCGTCGGACTGGCATCGATAAGATACACGCCTCTTAGGGGAGCCAAGTGATTATTGGAATCAGTGCACATCTCTCTCTGTCTTTCGTGGGGAGAAATAAAGGGGGAGGGGGCTGAATATCCCTCGGGCCCCCCATCCTAACACGAGCCTGTGCAGAAAATTCAAAAGAAATGCCACAGCAATGCCGGATACCGCCGCTTTGGCCGCTGCTCTGCGTCCCATGGCTTGGGCTATAACGACACCCGAGAATTCCAGTCGAAGGCGATTCACGGAAATCGATACGATATCGTGTTTCAGCTTGGCCCTCGGCTTGGCCCTCGGCCTGGCCCGGCCGCGCGTCTCGGCGCGTCCTCTTATTGGACATCGAGGCCCTGCCCCTGCCGCTTCTCCTGCCAGTTCGTTGGCTTCGTGGAATCGCGTCGCGTTATTGAGCCGCGTCCACCACTCTGCAGCAGCAGCAGCAGCAGCAGCAGCAGCGCAGCCACACAACGCGCTCGCCCGGCCCGGCAAGCCAGCCCGGCCGACCAGCCCGCAGCAACGCCAGGTCGTGCGGGTTGCCTGGGCCGCGCTGTGTGAGCGGCAGCAGGTCGCGCGCAAGCTGATCCACGTATTTGAACCCATTAAACAAGGCCTGCGAGGTGTGAGGCGGTTGGTCCGGCCCCGCGCCCGCTCCACAAGAGTGCCCGCGACACATTGCACCTAAATTTCACCCACGGGCACGCTCCAAGGAGTGCTCCGACATCCGAGGCCATCACCCCAGCGGTGACCATATCATCCCGCTGACCGACCTTAATAATTGAGGATGGTGCAAATATTATCGAAATTCAATGAAAATTCCTTATTTCCTACACTGTAAAAATATTAGTGGTTCAGGTGCGTTGAAACGCCGGGTGGGTAAAAATCACGCTGTTTGTTTTTTTTTTTGTTTTTACTGTGTAGCATTTTCCACTTTCTTGTTGAAGAATTTCCTGTGGATGAAGTTCAAATTTTCGATATCCTTAATTGAGACTAAACCTTCCTAGAGTTTCCAGGTGAGGGCCACGCTTCAACTTGCGCGCCAGATAGTTTGTGAGGGTAGGGTGCGTAATACATTGCGTTATGCGTCACGTATTAGTGATAGTTGTACGGTACTTGTCATGTTTTTGAGAAAAACCCGAATGAGACGAGCGCCGGAGGATCACCTGAATGACAATATCACCGTGTCATGCGTGGCACAATGTGCAATCCCTATCACACTACTTCCGATAAGCCTCGATACCTGCGTGAAGTGCTCGGTAAATACCAGGTGACTGATTCACGCCGCGCACTTCTGTAGGTATACTGTACCGCATGCACGAGTGCGGGCGGGCTTGCCTATCGCCCCTGTCCACGGCGCCTTACGAGCCGAGCGAGTAGGCAACCCGCCCGCACTCCTGCATGCGGTACAGCATAACTACAGTACAGAAGTGCGCGGCGTGGTTTGGCCACCTTCCCACTCGGCTTGCTCAGTTCTTGCTGCTAGGGATTTGTGCATCATCCCTTGCGATGACAGAGCAGTGCAGAGCACCGTGCAAGAGCACCGTGCAAGAGCACCGTGCAAGAGCACCGTGCAAGAGC